AGAGTTTCTGAAACTTTCCATACCCTTCAATAAATATATTTCAGTAAGTTCATTTCAAGCAGTGAAATTAACTTGCTTAGGGCGTTTAAATATACAGCAGGATTTAAGATGGAATATGTTTTTTGGGGTCTCTTAGCAGTGGAACGTATCTAGTTCTAAGGGACCAAGGGGGTTTCTGACTTTGGAAAATTGACAAGTAAAGTAACAAAGCAAAGATAAGGGACTTGCTAATATGAAGACCCTTGAAGTGTAAGAATTATTCTTTCTTTGAGGGGGCAGAAGTGATGGGCAACTTCAGTTTGAGAGAAGTGTTTTTCAGGGGATTATGGACTGTGAACAGGTAGTGGGTTTTCATGTAGCAGTCTCTCTTCCTAGTTGTATTCCCAGTTATAGGAGATCAACAACTAGCTCTCTGTCAAAGTCTTATTTGTAACTAGGAAGTGACCCAATGTGGTATTGCTGCATTATCTTGGTTTCTTTACTACTAAAAAGCCACTTTCACTACAAGGAAACCTATACAAATAGTTCAGGTTAGAATGCGAGCTGGTTTGGTACTACTTAAAGCTTTTGTTTGGGATTACTTGTATCTTTATGCATTATATTAATTTTAAAGTGAGATGAAGTCTAAATTCTTCACATTACTAGGGCTTGGAAAGAAGGTGTTTGGTCTTCATGAAACATGCAGGAAAGTGTGTTCTCAAGAATGTGGCATTGGCTTGGCCACTTAAGGCAATAAAGTTATAACTAGTTTATTGGTGCTAGATCTACAGAGAGGCTTGGGTTGCCTGGGTTTTATGTCTTCAGGTTCTTGTTATGCTGCTTCATGTTGGAGGTACCAGATGCTTAAAATTTAAGGCTTGGAGGGGTGGGGGTGGGGAGTTGCATGTGCTGAAGCAAAACTTCATTCTTGTCAGTAGACATTTCTGTGTCTGAATCATGCTTAAGTCTCTTACAATTAACAAATGGGTGTTTGCTTTTCTCTTGCTGTGGGCCTTGATTTGTTAAATTGAGCCTAGTAGGTGTTTACAGGCTATGCTTAACCTTGGGGGGTGGTGGGGGGGGAGGAGTGGAGTGTCCCTTAGTTGGTAGGTTAGGGTTAAATTAATTGCCCAAGCTATGAATGACCAGATTAAATTCCTTCTCTCACTTGAGAGGATTTGAACCTGCATACCCTGCCTCCCAGGAGGCTGACCCAGCAACCAGGCTGTAGGGTGTTCTACATTGAAGAGATTCTAATATTTCTTGAAGGAGGGCCTAAATATCCTCTCATCCAGATAAATAGCCTAATTAATTGGCTGTAGTTGTGTGCGTGTGTTCTCTCTATGACCCAGGGAATATTTAATTATTCAGTGCAACATGGAACAGCTTCAACTTGAGGTGTGTCTGTATCCTTACCCTGGGGATTAGATCGCTTCTGGGGAGGTATGGGTTCAACTGTCCTCTGAGGAGGGAATTGCAAGTTGTGCATCTTCAAACCTTCCTTATTGGAAAAGGAGTGTGGGGAAGACTCTACACTGTCCTCTATTTTATTTAGAGAGAAACAATGCACTTTCCTCAGTTTCTAAAAGTTTAAGTCTTAGTTTTGAGAGGGCTGTGAACCTAACTGCACTCTGGAATTCTGCAAAATATTTTAATTTGGAACTGTCAATTTCTTGGTCTGGAAACTGAATTCTTCTAACTCCTAGGATTTATGCTGAAGTGGTCAAGAGGCTTTTTTTGTTTGTTTTTTGATTCTTTTAACGCTTATTATTTTATTTTAATTCTTCCCATTATTTGGATATTTTATGGGTCATAAGTGCAATAATGCCTGCTCACAGATATGTGAGGAACAAACAATTCAAGTATTATGGGCTTTTTACTACTTAAATGTAGACAAAAAAGGGGGGGAGATTATCTACTATCTGAGGAACTAGTCAGTCAAATTGAAGCATGTGACAGTGGGCTGAGGCTTTACTGTAGAATAGCTGTTACATGGTAACTGTTCATGTAGTGAAAACTGGTGCAGATATGGGGCATGAACTGTTACTGCATGTCAGCTGTTCCATGGTAAGCTCCTATCCCTTCCTAACTTGCTTTAACTTGATCATTTCTCCATGCCCTTTGAATAAGATTTTCTTTGTTCATCTTTCACTCAAACGTTTGAAATTCTTCTGCTATGATAGAGCTAATAGCATGTGTTCGGTTTTTTTTTTTTTTTTCTTTTCCCTTCTTTCTGTGGTGTATCACTTAGGCTGCTTCTTTAGCAAAAAGTTTGAGTGCATATAAAATGAGCCAGCCAACAGAGCTCTTAGTTGGTTGGATAACAGAATAAAGACTCGAGAGGCTTTGATGTTGCAATATGTTTCAGTGCTCAAAGAATGCTTCTGTTTAAACAATGTTCATCAAATAGGAAAGCATTGGACATGCAAACCTGAAAGTCATACCAGCCTTGACTTTTATAGGGAAACTAAATTATGATATCTAAGGTCCTGCCCACATTAGTTGTTACTAGCCAAGTTTTATCCTGTTAGAGCATATGGACTTTCTTTACTAATGTGGATAAGGATCCTAAAGTTGTGTAGCAAAACTTCTATAAATAAGTATTCCTGGCTAACAGCCTCTTAAAGGTGGTTTTTACTTGTTTGCGAATCTCATGACCTGTCACTTAGCAGCAAAAATGCATGGAGGGACCAAAGAGTCCTGTTTCCAACCAGTTTTGGATTATGCTTGTATTCACTTAACAAATAGGTGCTGGCTGGCACAGAAGCCCATGGTCTGCTCTGTACTTGGTACTCCTTCACTATCACTCAGGTGTATGAATATCCCAGTGTGTGTCCATGTGTACTCATGCACAGTTCCTGAAGGCTGCAAGAGGAGATGAGTGGATCTGTTTGTATGTTCCTATTCTGGTAATTTTTTACCCTTTCCTTGGACCCTCTAGTTCCTATTCATCTATCCCAAAGAGTCCCCATAAACCTAAATGTTGGGGGTGGGTGGATAGGAGAGGGCAATGAAAGGGTCATCTGGGCTGCCTATACATGGGGTGGGGGGGGGGGGGGGGGGGGGGGTGCTTTAATTAGAACAGTTCTTCCAGGAATCACTCTAATTAATGCCTCACCACCTTGTGTATTGATCCCCTGTGGGTTTAAAAATGGCTGCAGGATACTTTATCTAAACCTCATTGAATGAGGTTTAGATAGTGCTGCAGCAGCCATTTTTTAACCCATGTGAGGCCATGCTAGAGTGTTCTGATTGGAACATGTCAGAGTAGACTCAATTAAATCATGAACCAGCATGTGTATAGGCAGTCCTAATGTCTATGACAAACTAGAAACTTGGAGGCTAATTGAGTGAAATATAAAAATTAACTAACTATAAAAATGCTTTTTTGTATAGGCACAGACTCTGTGCACTTTTTTACACTGACAGAAGCATTATTAATACTTTAATGTCTAGTCTACAAAGTTGGTTGTTGGGGTTTTTTTGTTTTTTATTGAGATATTTTGGTAAAAAGGCTGCTTCCACATAGAACATGCACATTGGATAGATGGAAAGGACACTTTCTCCAGCAGTTAGAGACTTTAAAAGCTTGGTTTCTTGTTATTTGATGATGCCTGATGGTAACCACCTGCTGCTGCTGTTGCTACAGGCCAACCTGCATTTTGTGGTCTCCCAAATGAGTAGTAACACTGGCTTCCTTATATAGGAGTGCAGTAGACTCATTTTAATTTGCCTTTGACTTGAAGGTCACTTTACCAGCAGTTAAGATGTACCAAACAGTACAATATTCTGCTTATATTTTAACCATAAGCTTTTTCTAGGTTGTAGAACACTACTAACTTGCCTCAGGGGTACAGTGGTGGTCAGTATCCTGCTGCTGCAGGTGTTGTCAAAATAGGCTCAAGACTCATGGAAGAAGGTCACTCTCCCTACTACAGAGGAAGGCAAAACCATCTGCAGCTTGTGCCAGTCTAACTGGGGTAAAATTCCTTCCTGACACCAAATGTGGTGATAGGTCTGACCCTGGGAGGAAGGGCAAGATGCTCTATCCACAGACTTCCAAGTTTTAGTTTCAGCAGAAGCAATGGTACACCCCTGTCAAAATCCCTGTCCTTGGATGCAGCCAACACCCAGTGCTTCTCAGGAAGGTTAAAGGAAGGGGGAAAACCCTGATATGTAGCAAAAAGGGGGTGGGAGCATAGAAATTCCTTCCCTGGAAACCTGCAATGTCCAGAAGTGTTGGAAGGACCCATGTAGCATAGACATAGCAATTTACTGATTTAATGTTTGTCCAACCTCTTTTTAAAGATCTCCAATGATGGAGACGCCACACCTTTCCTAGGCAGTGCATTTCACTGCTTCACTGTTCTAATAATGACAGGTT